GTAGTGGTAGCAGTAGTAGTAGTACTAGTAGTAGTAGTAGTAGTAGTAGTAGTAGTAGTAGTACTAGTAGTAGTAGTAGTAGTAGTAGTAGTAGTAGTAGTATGTCGACGGGTGGATAGAGAGATGGATATAGAGAGACAGATAGTGACAGCAGGTTTTCCTTTGATTCCAGCATTTCCATAGGTCACCCCAGGCAGGACTTCCAGAAAAGATCATGTGCACAACCCGCAGTCTGGGAGATGTGGGAACAAACATCCACTCGTGCACGCGGACCACGGAAGTGCAACAGTGGCGTGCATTGGCGCACATCGTGGCACATCGACGGATGAATCGAACACCAACCACATTTCAAGCCGATGTGTGTCGAGAAAGCTTGAAACGAGCCGCGAGCATCCGTGCTGCTTTGGGGGACCGAGCAGTGCATCAAGCTGGAAGCAGCAACAATCCAACCTCCATGTTTCGACAGACTCAGATACTGGCGGTCAGGATACTCGCACGGGCCGCATTGCATGGACATCGTGACGGACATGCTGCTGAATCGCTGCGCTCGCACGGCATGAAAACCCATGACGCCCAAAAGTGAAGCCGGGATTTTGCCAAGCAGATTGCATCAGGCTGCAGTGGCTCGACGGCTACGCCCGTGTGTGGCTTGAGCCTGCAGCAGACAAGCAAGCACACCAGCACGCACGCAAACCAGCAGGCTCATGAACGAATTAATTAGAGGGTTGCAGACGTGTTTCGGGACACATTTTTGGATCCTGCTGACTGCTAGCTTACACCCAAAACATTGATTGTGCCCCCGGCATGGGGGGTCGCGGTGCCCTTTCGGGCAGCGGCAAAGCAGCACGACACGTGCGAAGCATCACCGGGCACAAACTTCTGAGGTCATGCTTGAAGCGATTCTACTTCGATTCATCATCAGGTCCTCTGCAGAGTCGCATGGTCTAAGAATCCCATAGCAGCCCATGCAGGTCCAACGTATTGCATTGACTACGAGATGCATGAGAGTCTGGTCACGGCCATGCCTGGCACACCCCCTGCTTAGAGCTCAGTGATTGAGAGGTGTTAAGCATGCGATACGACTGATACCGACTGATGCACTGAAAGTTCGGCATAGTGATGCTGTCAGAACGAGATGCTTTTGGCGTTCTGTGCCACGTTTAGGATGGCAAGCTGGGTGTACGTGAGCCTCGAACAGAACACTTGATTGCAAGGGCCTCAGCCAGGTATCGCGTTGCAGCTTCAGCTGTCGACCGTCTGATAAGGAAGCTGCGAAGCAGACTTAGTCTTGTGTCCATGCACCGTGTGAGCAGCCGCTTCACGAAACATACCGAGCCGATGCACTGCCCGACACAACACGATAGCTTCCTGATTGCTAGAATTCGAGAGGAGGTTGCCAGCCGCCGATTATACCAATGTTACCTTTCTGGTAGCATGTCAACTTGGCTGGGCTTGACAAGTAAAAAGCACCGCAAACACCGCAACGCTCACGCAATTAGCCACTGCATGATACCAATCTGCTGCTCGCCCTGAAAGGCTGGAACACATGTGAGGTTTTCAAAGGTTCGTGTTCATGCAGTTCACAAACGCATATGCTAGCTGCTTATGGAGATTCGAACAGTGTCTTCATTGCCAGCTGGCTTCACTCTTGGATAGGAAGCCCCAAACTCTGCTGGCACGTCGAAATGCGTGGCATATCCTGGTGTTCATGTAGTGGAAGGCAAGTGCAAGCAGGATCAAGCAGGTACAGTGACAAACTATGCTTGTCTACCGAGTTCGGCCTTACAGCAACTTCGCCCGATGATGTGAACCTCCATGCCTCGAGAGACTCTCGAAGCAAGGTCATGTACGAGGAGAAGGGTGGGAAGCTAACACGCATGTGGTTGAGGCTGCCGCATGTGTGACTCCAAAGCTGTTAGCGCGAATACGAGCAATTGGATTCCTAGAGGTCCGCACAGTAGCATAACCCAGTCTGCTGTAATCAGGATCATATTCGTCATGGTGAGATCCTCCTGTTCCACCCACTACTTCAGCCTTCTTCCAAAGATGCATCAGCACTTTCACAAATCTGGTATGCAAAAGTTGTTGCGTTGGGATCATTGGGAGGTCTTCCGTATCTGAGCTCTGCCAAAGAGCAGAATTTGCATTCTGTGTTCTCGCCAGCTCTGCACACGCTGCGCCCTGGCTTCCTGGCTCCTTGTGGCGTTTTGCTTTTTGGCTTCGATGCCTTTATGGTGTAATTTGTTGTGCGCGTGCGTGTGTGTGTGTGTGTGCGTGTGTGGCTGCTTTGTTTGGTGTTTTGTCCCGTCGTTTGGTTCTTTGTTCCGCACCTGCCTTAGCTGTTCTGTTTTTCGCTGGTCATCCAGTTTCTGCATGTGGGTTGAGTTTTCGCCCGTCGCCTTTGCGTATTTCTGCGTCTGTGTGTGTTCCTCTGCGCTTGTCGCTTGGTGGCTTTTTTCTCCCAGTTCTTTTGCTTCGCTTTTGAAACCGTCCAGGGTTCGGCCTTAGTGCCTGAGTCTAACCGGGCTACATACATCACCCCATGCGTACTTGCTTGCTTGGCCCTTTCAGGGCTGTCAGCGAGGGGGGTCGCTGAACAAGTAGATTGAGATTGTGTGACTCGGAATTATAACAAGCAGCGATACTTCAACCTCAGACCTCGAGGGTGGGGTGATCCAGAAGGCTTGCCTGGGCGAGAACCTTCGGCAGTTTATCTGTGCAGTAGTACGTCAATGTGGATGTCATCCTGGATGTCTGTGAATCATGCAGGCCTGATAGTGAAAAACTGGGCAGCGACACCTATGCTGGTGAGGAGAGCTCTTCGGGGCCGGAAACTTGCTTTCTGAGCTTGCCTGCTAGCGTGATCTGCGGGGGATGGGCGTGCCACGCCACGGTTGTGCTGCAAAGTTCATGTCTGCCATGGCGGTGTTGAGCACAGACTTTGTACCAAAAAGTCTCTGTTCGACCGCGTGCCAGCCCTTGTGATAAGTCTTCTGATGCAGCAGCTCTGCAGAGGACATCCTAGCATCCAGCGAGGGATACAAGCAATTTGAGGTGGAAGTCATGTTGCAACAAGATGTGTTTTTGCAGCCATTGATGGGAAGCACGTTGCTGTGATGGCAGGCGAAATTGCAAGAAGTCACGGGTGGCAAACTGGGAGAGTGCGACTGCCATGTTTCCATTTCTGCAGTCGGGCTGGTATTCAACCTTGCAAGTCTTCAGGCGCATCTTCCACAACTACCATGACATCCCGAGTGTTGGCTGACGGCCAGTGCCTGCTCAGTGCCTGCGAGGGCTCAGCGCATTAAGCAGCACAAGTGGGCCCCGTTTTCAGAATGAGCTATCTCCTTTGGCTGCATATCTGGAGCAAGCCAAAAAAGTGCGAGCGAATGCGCACAACACCCCTCCCCCCACACAGAGACGCACACACACACACACACACATATATATATATATATAATATGTATAGATATATACACACACACACACAC